CCAGAAATAAGTAGAGTATTTTCCACAAGGGTTGTTCACATAAATCTAATGCTAGATGAGTTGTCATACCTACCTAAAAATAAATAAGATGGAAGTTTGAGGTCAATGTTCATGTGCAAGACGAGATGAGGTTCTCAGAAACTTCAATCTTGACCAAATGCCTAGTTTGGCACAAAGTCTTTGAACATATATCCATCTAAAGATGAAATAGAAAAGCCTATCAAATTTTTGAATTAAAAAGGTAGATGAGATTCCCAATAAGTCATTCCTTTGAGAAAAAGGAAATTATCCAAATACAAGATAAATCCACATAGAAACAAATAAAAACAACAAATAACAAGAAACAGTTGTTTTAAGTAATACAAATCACAAGATCTAGAACTAAAAGAGCTGAAATCAGATAATTGAAAAATAAAAAGTTACAACATGGCATTTCAATCCTAAAGAAATGTCACCAGTTTACTGCTGCTCATTATCTGGTTTTGCTGCTTCTTTGATCTCATCAGTTCCATCATCCTAAACGAGATTCAGCAAGACTCAGAGATAAATAAAATCGTTCCGAGAATGGCGAAGAAACAATCTTATTAACAATAAGAAAGAAATATATATACCTGCATATCTGAAGTCCATAAAGTGAGGTTATCGCGAAGAAGCTGCATGATCAGAGTGCTATCCTTGTAGGACTCTTCGCCCAATGTGTCCAGCTCGGCAATTGCCTCATCAAAGGCCTTTCATATGATCAAATGAACCACAAAAATCATTTTTAAAAAGATCAACCATAAAAATGGATATCATTATATTAAACGTAACTGATCATCCCACAATGCCTAATTTGTCAATTTCAACAAAACTCTATCAAATTATTTTCAATAAGGAAAACTGTATCTAATTATTCAATTAATGATTATGGTAAACATTCATTAAGATAACTAGGTCTATTCATGTCGTAACTGATAGCTACTAGCTCTAATAATTGATTTCTACAATAATCAAAGCCATTGTAATAATAAAACGATTTAATCACAGACAAATTCTTTTAAATGAAAGTTANAGCTCTAACAATTGATTTCTACAATAATCAAAGCCATTGTAATAATAAAACGATTTAATCAAAGACAAAAAATTTTAAATGAAAGGTACTCATTTACTGACCTGTTTGGCGAGATTACAAGCACGATCAGGAGAATTCAAAATCTCGTAGTAAAATACAGAGAAATTGAGAGCAAGTCCCAATCGGATTGGATGCGTAGGAGCAAGCTCGGTATTTGCAATATCCTGAAATCACGAGATCAAAAAATGTCAATTTAACATTTTTTTCTCCAGAATTTGAATAATTTTCTATCTAAAACAAAAATGATAAATCTAACCTGAGCGGATTTGTAAGCCGAGAGAGTGTTTTCGGCGGCTTCCTTTCGCTCGGCACCGGTCTTAAACTCAGCCAAATAGCGATGATAATCTCCTTTCATTTTCAAGTAAAACACCTTAGAGTCACCGGTAGCAGCAGCGCCAATGAGCTTAGAATCGAGGAGCTTGAGAATGCCGTTACAGATCGAGGTGAGTTCGGTCTCGATCTTAGATCTGTACTCCTTGATGGAGGCAACGTGATCTTCGTTACCGCGGCTCTCCTCTTTTTGCTCAATGGAGGAGATGATACGCCACGAGGCTCGCCGTGCTCCGATAACATTTTTGTATGCGACGGAGAGGAGGTTCCGTTCTTCGACGGTTAGTTCCTCAGCGCCGTCGGCGGCGGCGACGACTTTCTCCATGAACTCAACCATCTCCTCGTAACGCTCGGCTTGCTCGGCAAGCTTTGCCATGTACACATTCTCCTCGCGTGGCGACGCCATTGATGTTGCTGTGAGAGAGAGGAAATGAGAGGGAGTTTTGTAGAGAGAGAAAATGCAGAGAAAAGTAAAGAGCGGTTTTTAGGATTCTCCTCCTCCCAGTTTGATTTTTGTGCGTGCGAAGTGGGAATTGGGGAGGGCTTTCAGCTTTATGGGCCGGTTCCTAGTTCTAAGTCTGGACTGGTTATTAGGTGGGCCTGATAACAATTTTACTTGGTAAAATGACATCATATAGTCACTCTCAAAATAATAATTAAAACAATATAAATTTTTTTGTATATATATATATTGTAAGTTATATACAAAAATTATATAAATTTTATATACTTTTTCGGCTATTAAATATAAATAGTTTCTGACAATGGCAACTAGTCCAATAAGATGCAGCAATTCCTTGTTCTCAAACTACTTTTACCCTTTAATAATTGCTTCTTCAGTATATTCGCTATTTACTTTTACTTTTTTCTTTTTTGGGTTTAACAATCAGGAGATTATAAGGCCACTTTTGCCTGTAAGAGTTTAATTTGTCAAATACACTAACTTCTAATTCAACAACAATATATCAATGGACCAACCATTGGGTTTTTTAACACATTAGTTCGGATATGTTTACCAGTTAATGGCCAAATTGGTGTAGTATCGAGAAATGTCATTTTGCTAATCTTAACAATGGGTCTTCAATTGGTACTTAAGAACTCCTTTTTATTAATCTTTTAAGACAATGTATGAGTTTTGTTTGGTTTCGATATTATACGTTGTGAGGAGCATCTATGCTGGTTTAGTTTAACTAATCATTGGTCTATTGATATTAGTTTTTTTTTTTTAATTTGTGTTTTTGAATTTGATTTTGTAAACTCGGCATTGAAGACGTTATGTTCACTGGTGTTACATTGTGAATCAAGGTGCTTATCTTATTATATGCTTTTCTTTGCTATTTATTTTCTTTTTAATTTTTCCTTCACTACTTTACTTTGGTTTCAACACAAGAACTAGAATGAGAGCAAATGTATATTTTTCTCTTCCCTTCCTAGTTTCCACATGGGGCCATTTTTCTCCTGTCCTATATTCCTACACAAGACTTCAAAAGTCTTTTTTACCTCATCTTCCAAGTCTTATCCAGACTTTATAACTCTACCTGGTGATTAAGCTCCGCTTTAGTTGATGCGAAATGAGCAGATTATGTGCCGGTATGGAACCTACCCTTCCAAAGTGAAAATTTGTCATCCTATTGCCAAGATTTTTAATTTGGTTTAGAGTCTGAGTGATGAAGCACATGATTTTGTCATTAGTGAGAAAGCAAAAGGCAAGTAAATTCTATAGCCCTAAACTAAAAGAGCGTGTCAAGTTCATTCAGCTTGAGGGATAAATTACGCGAGGAAATGGATGACACTATATAAATTTGCGGTATGACCTCCTAAACTAATTTGCAAATACCATTGGTGTGTAATAGAACACTAAAATGTGCTGGAAATAGAAAAACAACACTGAAATCCTTGTCATGCTAGGAACCAATTGAAATTTCTCCTTGTGTGTTTTCATGTGAATTGGTAGGGAAGGGAAAAACGAGAAAGTGTAGGTGGGAGCAGCAGGCAGCAAGCTGATATATGAACTGAATCTTGAACCAGTGAACCCAGAAGGCAAATCACAAGCAACAATATTTGCATATCGTAGCTTGTCCTCCTTATTAAAAGGAAAAAGGAATTGCCCCCATTGTTAGAGCTAAAGCTACTAACGTAGAAGGCATCAACACTTGGATAGGTGACTTCCTCACCTGATTGAATCCTCAGGAGTGATTGAATACCTCAAACAAGAAAGTTTGAGCTGACATTTTATAACAAGTATTTGGTGAAGCCACCAAGTAGACACAAGACAAAAGACTGCAAGCTGTAGCATAACGGCAAAACTATACTTTGATCATTTCTACAGCTTAAACCTCTTCCATATCTTTGGTTCTAACGGAAGCAACATCTCCTAGAGGAACTTACAACTAGTATATCTGCACAATTAACCGGTGCAAAAATAAAACTTTGAATGCAATACAAAAGAAATATCACAAAAGAATTGTTAATAAAAAAGAGTACGTTCAAGGATTATTCTGCAGATTGTGTCCACTTCTTTTTCAACCCCAACCAAGAAAAAACAAAAACACAAGCTGTAATCTGATAAAAATTGAGCAAAAACTGCAACGTCCCTAAAATTAGTCCTTGCTTGCTGTTAATAATTAGTCCTTACCACTCGATGGACTAAGGGAGAAACTAGTGGTCTTACATATTCACTCCATTTCTCTTCCGTAAAAGTCAACTTTGTTTCCCTCCACGTGAAAATGGTTTATATATCCCCAAGCACCTTTCATTTAGCCATTCACCTATGCCATAGTCAGTAAAGTACATGAACCTAATCAATTTGCACAAAAAGTAGGAACCTATCCTAAGGATATAAACGAACTATACCCCAAGGCTGAAATGAAGCTGCTACTTTAGTCATAGTCGGAAGAACACATGAAGGTAGACTACCTGTACAAAAATTAGAGTCATCGTAGAGCTAAAATGAGCTAGTTAGTCATAATCAGAGTAAAGCATATAAAGCAGTCAACTTGCACCAAGGCTGGGACCCATTACAAAACAAATTTGTGTTACTTCTCCAAAGGCTACCATGATATTATTCATCTTAATTCCCATGTTAACCATTACTTTGGTCTTAGTAGTTAAAAGGCATGAACTAGCCTAATTATTCCAAAGTTGATCAATATGACTATACTCGGCCTCAAATTACAGAATCCTCTCACATTGATGTAGATGATCCATTCGCTCTCATTCTATAGCAATTCTCGCTAAAAGGCATTCTTAAGGATTTGCTTATAAAGCCGTTGGTTACATCAGCATTAAAATTCCTTCCTTATCGTTGCGCTAGCTTCTACTTTATTTTAGAAGTATAATCTCCCGTATCATAAGAAGATAAGTACAATCTCCATCTTTCATGCTCTTTTCAAGACTGCTGAACCTATAACCATTGCAGCTCTACTTGATCGCAAACGCAACTATATTTAATAAGCATTTTAAAGATCAAAATCCAGACAAGCTTAATGTATCAATATGTAGAAGCACAAAATTACTGCATAGCAGCAGTAGAAGGTAGGCATATAACAAAAGAAACAGAGACATCTGAAATTTTAAGCCTTTGCAAAATAGATGAAACTGGAAAAGGATAACAACCTCAGAATTTGAATTCAAAAGTAAATATCCCAACATTACCATACAATTGATATAACAAAAGGCACAATTTTGCAGCTTTCTGAAAGGGAAATGTCCTTGTTTGTTCCTCCTGATTCAGCACGTTTTAACTGTAACTATCGAAGCAAATTAAATTGTAGGATATTAACTTCACATAACACAACATAAAGCAAGGAACAAAACCTAATTAATTACCTACTCAACGTGAGGCATTGAGACCGAGAAGCATGTTGCCTTGCTTAGGTAAGTAAGCCACGTTCGGAGTCTTAGCCATGGTAGCAGCAACCTCCCTAGACGCCTCGATTCTCCTGAGCTCAATTAATCCCATACCAGCAGCTGCAGTAGCATCAGAAATCAACTTAGCCGACTCGCTCTCACCTTCAGCCCTAATAATCGCTGCCCTCCTCTCTTGCTCAGCCTTCATCACAACAAACTTGGACCGCTCCGCTTCCTGCTGAGCCACCTGCTTCTGCTCCACAGCTTTAGAGAACTCCGCACCGTATGACAAGTGTGTAATTGCCACGTCATCGAGCACGATATTGAAATCCTTAGCACGTCGGATCAAGCTCTCGCGAACTAAAGCTGATACTTGTGGACGCTCCGTCAGTAACTGATCCGCGTTGAATTGAGCTACGACGGCTTTTAGAACCTCATTGCCGATCGAAGGGAGGACTTTTTCGTCGTACTCGAGACCTAGGGTTTTGAAAATGGCGGGAAGGCGTGCAACTTCGGGGCGTGAGAGGACCCGGAGTGTGAGGTGGACCATCTGGAGATCCTTTGTCCCTGAAACGGAGGAAAATGTGTGGGGCCTAGTACGGATATCGAAGATGAAAGGTTTTTGAAGCCATGGGACGAGGAAATGAGTTCCTTCGCCGACGGTATCGTCGATGACTCCACGGAATCTGTCGAAGAGGACGGCGCGTTGACCACCGTCGACGGTGTAGAGGGAGGAGTTGAGAACCGTGGCGCTGATGCCTAGACCGAAGGCGGCGCGTGCAACGTTCGTGAGGAATGATACTGCTGCTTGGCTGCTACCCATTCTTTTGGTTTTCACTGCGAGAATTTGGGTCTTTTTGGAAACTGGAAATTGGAACTGAAGAGAAGATGTGAGGGTTTTTGCTGAAAATGGAGTAAAACCCTAAACCCTCAATAATAACGGGTAGGGTCCAGAACAAACGGGTCGGAGGCCCAGCACATAATCTCTGTCTATATTTTGGTTATTACACAGAATATCCACTAATTGTTCAAAAAAAAAAAACACTTTCATTTGCGCCTTCTATGCTTATTAAGCATGATTGTTAGTCAGAAACTTTTTTTTATAATCTAAAAATTATTTTCATTAATTAAAGGGATATGGATCTTGAGATGATTTGAAATGAGGAACATGATTACTAAGGATTCATATAGATCATAATTTGCTTGACATTGAAAAGCAGTTATTGTTATAGACAAAGCACTACTAGAAAATGGCTGAATTTCGACAGCCAAAACGGTCAGAAATCGGTCGGAAATCATTAATTTTCGACTACTTTCCGACCAAAATTGATCGGTCGGAAAACAGTTGGTCGGAAAATAATTTCCGACCGAATCCGTCGGTGATTTCTGACCAAAGTAGTTGGAACGTTCAAAAGGTCAGATGACCAAATTATTTTCAAATTTTCGATCAAAGTGGTCGCAATTTTACCGACCGAATCAGTGATAATAATAAAAATAAAAATAAATATTTATTTAAAATTAAATAATAAAAATATATAATTTGTGACCGAATCAGACGAAAATTAATAATTAAAAATAAAATTTATTTAATTTTCGACGGAATCCTCAAAAACTGTTAAAAACTAATTAATTTTTTTGTCATTCTGGGTATTTTTGAAAAAAACTAGGCAGTTGTCCGACCGTTTCCGTCAGAATTTTCTGTAAAACCGTGCAGAATTCTGCTCAATTTTGAGCTACACCACCTGTCAAACAATTACAATACAATAACGCCAACAACCAATCAACAAATATATCATCTAAACCAACAAATCCAACCATTAACACAATCTAAACCAACAAATCCATTAAGCCTAACAATTTTGGGCATAAAAATATCCAAATAGTAGCCCACATTCAAGTTTAAAAATAAAACATAAAGTTGTTTCTCACAATCAAGTTTACTAATCAACTAAAACCCTACACCTAAACTACTACAAATCAGATTCAGTTTGTTCATCCTCATCATCAGATAGATCATGCCCATATTTTCTCATGAATTTCTGCATCTTAACAAATGTTCCGAATTGGGAGTCCAATTGTTTCTTCCAATCACGAATTTCTTTTCTCATATCTTTCATTTGTTCTTGATTTTGAGAAGAAGAGGAATTGGCTAAGAGTGGGTTTGGATGACCTGTAGGTCGACGTACTCCAAGTTCGTAGACTCTGCCTTTGTTTACTCCACCCTCTGCCTCTGTCCACAATGAAGCCATATCATTAGGTGTTGATTGAGTTGAAGGATGCTGAGTTTGTTTCCATTCTTCCACCCTTTTATGACAATCTTTCTGAAATAAAAATGTCACGACCCAAAATTCATTAAAGGTCGTGATGGCGCCTAACACCACTGTCAGGCAAGCCAACCTTGACTAATTAATTTAATTACTCATTTTAGTATTTTTGAATCAAAATTTTCTTCAATTAAATAGTAAAGATAGAATTCATAGAGTAAGTAATAAATATTTTAGCAACTAAATTACCAAACAACCCATCACCGCTCCCAAAACCCGGTGTCACAAGTGCATGAGCATTAACTAGAGAGATAAAATAAAATACAACATCCGTCCAGAATACAAATTAGACTGAAAGAATATAAATAATACTGAAAGAGACTCTGTTGGCTGCGGATCGTAATATAGAATGCAGCTCACCTGAATCCCCGCATTTTAACCACACCTCTGCGCCCACTAGGCCACTAGACATATTTGTACCTGCACAAAAATATGCAACAAGTGTAGCATGAGTACGTAAACAACGTGTACCCTGTAAGTATCAAGCTTAATCTCGAAGAAGTAGTGACGAAAGGTCGACATTGACACTCACTATAGGTCAATAATATTACAATAAAAATATTTAATTAAACATGATTTTTAGGCTAACAACAATGATTTTCTTAACAAGCAGAAATAATAAAATTCTTAAATTTCAATAAATTCCCAATTTATAAATTAACTTTACAAGCTGCAATTAAAGTATCAAGGTATCGTGTAATTATTATTATTATGCACGATTTATGCCGAGGTCGTACGGCCCAATCCAGAGTGTCGTGTACACTACCGAGGGACGTGCGACGCGATCCATTGATGCATCTATACTACCGAGGCGTTAGGCACGCTCCACAAGAAAGGAGGACATTTTCTTATGTACCTCCGGAATGAGAGTATATATAATTTAAGATTAATACAAGAGGATGTACAATTTCAATTTAGCAGTTAAAGATTTTTCACAAAACTCAAGTACGTGAAATTTCAGTCTTTTACTATTTTTTCCTAACAATTACAATATAGTTTTAATACTATAGTTACTTAAAGGATACAATTATCACATGCGATTCATGATTTTAGTCCTAAACTACCCGAACTTTAGCATAAATAGTAGCTACGCACGGACTCTCGTCACCTCGTGCGTACGTAGCCCCCACAATTAGCAAAATTATTAATTCAAATCACCTATGGGGTAAATTCCCCCTTACAAGGTTAGACAAGAGACTTACCTTGTCTCAAAGCCCACTTCCGATCACGGTGTCGTGTAAAAATCCTAATTTGGTGCCGAAAAATCCAAAACTATCCAAATGTTATATAAAATAATTAATACATGCTTAATAATTTAAAATTAAACTATTAAATAAATTACCCTACCCAAAATGGTAAAATTTCTAAAATTCATCCCGGACCCACGTGCCCGGATTCTGGAAATTCTCGAAGGAAATCGTTACCCATACTCTCAAGAACTCAAATATACAATTTTCATCCAATTCCATAACCATTTTCGTGGTTAAAATCTCATTTTTATAAAAATCTAGGTTTTTCCTCTAACCCTTGATTTCCACCATTTACATAGTTTAATATACCCATAATCTATGTATTTAATTCAAAGGGTGTATAATTAACTTACCTTCAAGTTGCTAGTTGAAATCCCCTCTTAAAAAGCTCCAAAATCGCCCAAGAATGGAAGAAATGGGGTTAAAAATGGTGAAATCCCATATTTAAGACATTATGTTTGGTACAGTGAACCCCTTCTTCGCGAACGCGGTCAGTGCCTCGCGTTCGTGAAGGAAAAATTCCACAGCCTTAAAATTACCCTTCGCGAACGCGACAGGGGTCTCGCGAATGCGTGATCTCCCTCACGAACGCGTAGGGAAAAATCCACGCCGGTCTCATTCCTCTTTCGCAAACGCGAGTCTACCATCGCGAACGCGTAGGCCAAAACTCCCGGGCTTCGCGAACGCGTCACCCTCCATGCGAACGCGAAGAGCAATAGCCCAGCTCCCATTTTCCTTCTTCGCGAATGCGAGGGTCCTTCCGCATTCGCGAAGAAGAAAACCAGAACTGGAATTTCTAATTTTTCTAACTTAGCTCTGAGTGGTTCAAAACTCACCCGAACCCCCCGGGCCCCCGTCCAAATGCACCAACAAGTCTGAAAACATAACACGGACTTGCTCGAACTTTCGAAATATGCAAATCAACAACGAAACTAAGAATCGCACCCCAAAACAGAATTGGATCAAAATATGAACCAAGTTTCTAACTTTCTCCGAACGCGCCGAAACATACTTATACTACCCGGAATGACACCAAAATTTTGCATGCAAGTCTTAAATCACTATACGAAACTATTCCTAAACTCAGAATTTCAAACGGACCTCGATTACTCCAAAACCTACTCAAAACCAAATTTTAAATACCTTAAAAGCTTTAAATAGTTGATATTTACAATTAAGCGCTGAAACGCTCCAGGGTTGTCCAAAACCCGATTCGAACATATGCCCAAGTCCAAAATCATCATATGAACCTATTGGAACCGTCAAATCCCGATTCTGGGGTCGTTTACTAAAAAAGTTGACCGAAGTTAAACTTAGCATTTTGAGGCCAACTTAAGGAACCAAGTGTTCCGATTTCAACCGAACACTTCCAAATCCCAAACCAACCATCCCCGCAAGCCATAAATTAATAAAAATACATATAGGGAGTTTTATTTAGGGTAACGAGGTTCTAAAAGTCATAATTACCGGTTGGGTCATTACATTCTCCACATCTTAAACAAACGTTCGTCCTCGAACGGATTTAGAATTATACCTGGAGTGCTGAATAAGTATGGATATCTGCTCCGCATGTCTTCCTCGACCTCCCAAGTCGCTTTCTTGACTGGTTGGCCCCTCCATTGGACTTTTACCGCAGTAATCCTCTTGGACCTCAACTGGCGAACATGTTTATCAACAATGGCAACTGGTTCCTCTTCATAACCCAAACTCTTATCTAGCTGAACTGTGCTGAAGTCTAACATATGTGATAGGTCGGCATGATACTTCCGGAGCATAGATACATGGAAAACTGAATGAACTCCCGATAGATTGGGAGGCAAAGCAAGCTCGGAAACAACCTCCCCAACTCGTCTCAACACTTCAAATGGGCCTATAAACCTTGGGCTCAACTTGACCTTTTTCCCAAATCTCATGATTTTCTTAACAAGCAGAAATAATAAATTTCTTAAATTTCAATAAATTCCCAATTTATAAATTAAATTTACAAGATGCAATTAAAGTGTCAAGGTATCGTGTAATTATTATTATTATGTACGATTTATGCCGAGGTCGTACGATCCGATTCAGAATGTCGTGTACACTGCCGAGGGACGTGCGGCGCAATCCATAGATGCATCTATACTACCGAGGCGTTCGGCACGCTCCACGAGAAAGGAGGACATTTTCTTATGTACCTCTGGAACGAGAGTATATATAATTTAAGATTAATACGAGAGGATGTACAATTTCAATTTAGCAGTTAAAGATTTTTCACAAAATTCAAGTACGTGAAATTTCAGTCTTTTACTATTTTTCTCTAACAATTACAATATAGTTTTAATACTATAGTTACTTAAAGGAT